CAATCAAAACTAATTGTGTATTTAACAAATACTTAATCTGAAATAGGAAACTGTATTTTTATTTTATGTAATTGTCTTATTACTTAACATGTCTAGCCCGTTTCGTATACAAGATATGATGTTCATATATGTTCTTGAATAAATAAATACAAAAATATATATATTTACCAGGGTTGATTTGTGTTTCCTCTGCAGGTCAGTATGCGGGACAGTCTGGTTTACTCCATCGTTCTCGGTATGGCTGCCTCCCGAAGCTGGAGCCGCGGTACCTCCAGTGCACAAGTTGCTGGCAGAGCCGGGTTCCCGTGGCAGGCTTTGAGACCCTGAACGCCTCCATCACCTCCCCCTCCTGCGATGAGCCCAATAGATCCCTGGATGCCTGCTACACATCCGAACAAAAAGACACCATCCTCCAGATGCTCAACAACGCCTCACCGTCAGAGCTGGCAGGCGTCAAGCTCCTCCGAGGCCGCAAGTCAGTCAACATCGTGGAATACAGGACTAAAAACGGACCTTTTAAAACTCTGGAGAGTGTGGTGAACGTACCGCTGCTGAAACACAAAAGTGCTGTCACTGTGTTCAACTCTATCCTCTACCCCGGGAAGAGGGAGGGGAACGGGAAGATTCAGTTGGCCAGGTTTATCAAGCCAGAGGTCGACAGGTCCTGGTTGGAGGTAAGGTCCTTGTGTATTTCCAAACACCTGCACTTGTCTTTACATGCATCACTGGCCTGAGGGTGCCTGTGGGGTTAGAGGGGCACAACTGGCTGGGAAACTCTGTTAAGTTATGATAACATATCTTATGGGATAAAGAACCAAATGCCACAGTGGACACAAAAGAATTACAGAAACATAAGCAGACACAAAATACCAAAAGAGAAGCAAAACAATGAATAGATATAAAACATAAGTTGGGATGCGGAAGTCACATAGATGACTAGAGGGACACAATGACTGCCAAGAGCCACAAACTAGCATGACCACAAAAAGACACACGACTACAGAGGAACAGCAAATGATTATTAAGAGACATAATCAAAGACTGAAAATGATGTCATAGAAAATCAAAAATACGTCAAAGACACAAACTACCACAGAGAACAAAATTACTACAAAGGGGCGGGATACAAAAGGACTATACAAAGATGCTGCCGTATTTTGTGTCTCTGTCTGGATGTCATAGCACTGACTGTGTCTTATTTCAGAATCAGGATCATTCTCTGTAACTATCATGAATCTCTATTTGTCTGCTTAGAAGGCGGATGCAATTGTGTCAATCGTGTGCGGGACTAATAAAATCGCCTGGGCTCATGTGGACCGTGAGATGATGGTGTTGGATTGGCATGAGCTAGAATGTCCACATTTCCTTAAGAAAACATACCTGGCTTCTACTTACTTGAATGATGTAAGTACAATTACCAGATTTCCCCTGTTACAATTGAAATGTTACACTAGTTGATTCGTTTTGAGGAGAGAAAATATGACACCTATTGTCAATTTGTTTTCCCTTTTGTTAACATCTAGATGTCATTTAAGGCACACAAAATAAACCCAAGTACTAATGCAAAATGTATACTGTTTCCTGTCTGCCTTCAGGTTTCTGCAGTTCTGAAAATCCTCCCCTCAGCTAACTTTTACATAATCGAGAAATGCTCCATCTCGGTGCAGAATACAGCTCTGTTCCCGATCATGACCCACATGAGGACTGTGGAGGCCATGCTGTTTTCTCTGCTGGAGCCGAGAAACTTAGCCCAGGACTCCAACATACCTCCAAAGTGAGAGAATTACAACTTTACCAATATAAAAGCTGCCTAAATACTGTACTGTACTACACACATGACTTTTATTGTGAAATGTGCTTTGAACAATGACTTGTTCCATAATTTCCCCCCTTGACTTCCTTCCTCTGCAGGGCGTTGAACATGATGCGTTCCGCTGTGGGGCGTCACTTTGAACTCATGGTGGGCGACTCGCGGACCAGTGGAGCGCAGATAGTGCGAAAACTGATGTCAGATTCGGTGACAAAGGACCTCCCGAGGATAAACTTCCCCCCCAATCTGCTGATGAAGTACAGGAATGCTTTCCAGATGAGCAGCCAGGGCGAAGGAGAGGAACTCTGTAACGCTCTGCTCCAGGCTGTGGCTTTTTACGAACTGCTCAGCAAATCCTCCGCTTAGCCGCCACATGGTCTGATCTCATCCCAGGAGCCAAAACAAACCTGGGAGTGGAATTCTGAGCCTTTGTGGACTTTTAACAAACATTTACCTCTTGAACAGATTTGGTAGAAGGTGATGATACAAGATAATAAATATGTTTTCTGTTACATGAAACACTTAATACTGTCGTTTTGGTATGCTTAGCATGAGGGTTGTAGCAATGTTTTGTTATTGCTGCAGTGGACCTTCATCATAAAGTAAATGCTGTCTGGATTATGCAATAACTTTCAGGAAAAACACTGCAATGATCTCAAGGCAACCCACATAAGTGCCTGAACACTCGTCGTTTAAAAATTATCATTTGCCAAAATAGATTTTATTTACTTTTCACAGAAATAAAACGTGATTTCTCATCAGCTGCATCAAATTCATTTGAAAGTAATTAGGTGGAGATTGTTATAAGTTAAATAAATGCACAGAAGTTAAATAAAACACTGACTGGAGTAATGTGAGGTAGTGTGAGGTTCTCTACGGGAAATCTTCTGCCAGGAGTTGGATGGTTGACTTTGAGAGGCCCAGGCGAGTGCTGCTGAGGTAGTTCAGACACCTACAGTGGGGGAGCAATCATTAGAGTTTGTCTGCAAGTCTTAAGTATTATTTGTGTCATCTGTCACATTGACTGCCCTGGTGTCACCAGTTTATTATAATGAAGTTAAAGGAACACTACAACCCAAAAATGGCCCTTTGTATTTACCATGAATTCTTAAATAAAACGTTTTCTAACTTGTTGTGAACCAACAATCACAACATGTAGATATAAAAAGGTATTTCAACACATCCATTCACCATCTCTTAAAACTCATACAATATAATCCAAGTCCTATGCTCACTCCCCCCCAAAACAATGTACATGCGGAAGTGGTTTTAATATTAAGACTAGCTGACATGCATATGTAAAGGAACAAGGGTGAGTAATGGAGATACAATAGATAACTTTGCGGGCGAGGTATTTCTTAATAGTAGATTTAATTTGTTAAAAACAGTGCTGTCATCAGTGCTAAATTATTAATCACTTGTACTAAAGGTAGTTGGCCTCTTTAATTTAATTGATGTGTCCGTCTCACCCGACTGGCTCCTCTTTCTGTTCTCTCTGAGACCGACAGATGTATCGGAGGACGGGCATGTAGTCCACACTGACGGCTCGTCTGTTCCCCAGCAGGCCGAAGGATTTACTGCCAAGCACTTTCCTGCTCAGCTCGTACCTCCGCCTGCACACACTGGAGGGAAAGACACATGCATAGTGTTGTAAACAATTGTTTTGCTAAGTTCATTGTAAACAAAAAACCCTAACAGTCCTTAAAGGTCCCATGTCATGCTTTTCCGGTTATTACCCGTCCCCTTGTGTGTTATGTAGCTTTTTATGCATGTAAAGGGTCTACAAAGTCACAAACCCTCAAAGTACACCCTGTAGCGAGTAAAACTCTAACACAGAAAAGACCTGTCTATGCTGCCCCAGAACGCCTCGTTGGAGATTTGTCTTTTTCCATTTTTTTCTTCCTGAGTATAGTGACGTAACGATAACCAGGTCCAAATGGACCAATCCGCGGAGCTTCTCTCACACACACACACACACACACACACACACACACACACACACACACACACACACACACACACACACACACACACACACACACACACACACACACACACACACACACACACACACACACATACACACACACACACGTTCTCAGCCGCGCTACTCCGCGGAGTTTCGCCGGCACACACCTTATCTTTTCTCAGCCGCGGCTCCGTGGATCTCCACTCACAGTTCGCCACACACTCACGTGTGTGTGTGCTCAGGCTGAGTTCCTTGGTGTCTCGCAGACCCCACGCAGCAACCAGCAAACGACACCAGTAATCCAGCTCACACTGTCCGCTCCTCGAGCCTCAAAGGGCGGAGCAGCGAGCCCCGCAACGTCCCGCCAACACGGCACCCAGACCCCACGGCACCCAGACCCCACGCAGCATTCTCATCTTATTGTCATTGCTGGTGTCATTTTATGGTTGCTAACAAACGCCATTGTAACACATAAACACACATCAGAGCACAGTGGGCTCATAGGGAGGGGGGAGGGGGGGCAGGAGCTCCAACAAGCCGTTTAGGACAGAGTGAATACACATACTATACAGAGATGCTGTATGAGAAACCAATGTGATTTTGGAACATTGAACAATGTAAATCTATTCTAGTAGACCTCAACAATGGAATTATGATCAGTAGAAATGGCCATGACATGGGACCTTTAAAAAAACACTGATATGCTTGGTAGTAAAAATAATAATAATTCAGAAGTTAGGATGGAGAGTAGACTCACCTTGCTGCACACGGAGGTTGAAAACTAAAGCTGAGGCCCTGGTGTTTGGAAGAGGCAGGTAATGTCAGTCTCTCCACCAGCCTCCGCCAACTTGCGTCTCCCACTTCCTGTTTATATTTGTGGGCTTCAGTCCACGCCTCAGACACTCGATAGCAGCACCTGTGAAACCCCAAGCCCTCAGCAGCAGCCTGAACGTCCAGCAGCCCCTCCTGGCTCAAAGTCCAGCACACATCATCGTCTGCACTCATCTCATCCGTCATCCCATCTTTTATCTCAGCCCCCGTCCAGACAAAGGTCTCAGGTCGGCCTGAAACGAGCGGCGCTGCTGCAGCTGGCATTGTTGAGTCAAGGTACGACATGAGGTCAAAGAAGTCTGTCAAAGCGTCCAGGCAGTCGGTTTCAACTCTGGCTGCTTTTTCTTCAGTCTTGTCTCTTTTAGTAGCAGCTGCTGAAGGAGCCCTTTTTGATGATAATGGAGTTCTTTGTGTCAAACTGGAAGATGATGTGTCGTCAATCATTGCTGTGATACATTTGTTTCTGCTAAGCCTGGAGATGTTCTTAACAGATTTGCTGTTGGTGGCTGATGCCTTAACACTGACATATCCATCAAGCTGCTTGACGTGAAGATCGATGTGAGGAGGGTCCGGCTCGTTCTGCAGCGCAGCACGAGACCCCGGGGCCCCGGCGGGTAGAAGAAGCTCCAGGTTTGAATACAGAAGAGGAACACCCCCTCTCCAGCTCTCTGCCAGGAGCCTCAGGAGCTGCTCCGTGTCATTTTCATACCAAACATTAGACTAAAAAGATCAACAGATGATGTCAGTTTTTGTTCTGATAAAAAGTGAATGGAGTGATTAAACACGATCTTAACATATCAATACTTGCCTGTAAAGGTTTACCAGTTGGTTTTGGGTCACAGTGTGGAGACCTAGCATGCTAGCAGCACAGCATGGGTCAGATTTAGGAAGCTGGAAGTCTACATCTTGTCCTCTTTTACGACCACTCAAATCTAGATAACAGAATATAACATAAATTGGAGCTTTATATATCCTGAGATTGCAGTGTAGGGATTGCAATACAAAGTAGAACAATCTGCAAATCCTGCGAATTTGAATTGATGTTATTGGTAACACAACTCTTGTCTATTAGGGGAGTGATTGTGATTTATTTAGAGTAACTCACACTGTACATGAGTAAGCTCCTCACAAGATGTCTGTCCTCCTCCACTCTGCAGCCAGAGCTGCAGCTGCAGCAGACAGCGCCTGACGTCTCCTCTGCACAGACTGACCAGCCTCTTGACAGCGTCCAGCTCCAGCTGCACGCTCTCAGCCAAAGCCACCAGCTGCAGGTAGCTGCAGACATTCACCTTGTAATGCATGGAGGAAGTTTATGACAAACTGTTATTCATGCTAATATTTGCCATCATGATTCTGCATGTGTGGGAAGCCTATACACACTATCAAGCAGATCCTTTTTATGTCACTGTAGTACCGTCTAATCCAACATTTTACGATCTGAATATCCGGATGTAGCAATAAGCTTGACTCCAACAAAAGTAGGTCTCAGGTAAGTTTGATTGACTGTTTACTTAAAGAAAAAGGTATTAGTACAAACACATATTTTCAAAGGTCAAAAAACTATTTTGCTCCGTGATTCTTTTTCCTTCTAATTAGCAGCAGCTGCGGTCGGCTATGACGTAAATTGTATTACAGCGGATTTAAATAAATGATATAATAATACTAAGAACAAAGAAATACAATGTTCAAATATATATATATCAAATTATACATTTTAACATATGGCTCCTACAGTTACAAACATAGACTGTGTGAGCTACTTCAGGAAACATCTAAGTATGTCACACTGAAGTTGTACAATATTATAGAAATGAAAGTCTGACTTACCACTGATGGGGTTTTGAAAATGATTTCCTCCAAGCTGCTGTTAAATCTCTCCCTGAATAAGGGATCTAAAGAAGATATTTATTTGATTTAGCCATACTTATTTCTTTTACATCACAACTTGTTCTGAAAGCTTTTCTAAAACGACACAGTGTATGCGTTTACCATTGGTGGTCAGAACGACCGGTCTTTTAGTGGTCGTCATGAACGTTTTGATGGCCGAAAAGAAACCCACATCATCATGAAAAATGACATCAACCTGCGGTGGCAGACGGATGCAAAAAGGATCAGACCAGCCTAAACATGTGCAGACTCAAATCCAGATAATGATATGTGTTACAGTGTGGGTTTGCCAGATGGTTTACCTCTTCAAACAGAATGAGCGACGTGGCAGTCTTTTTGTTCTGCGGCACCGTTTGATCAGAGCCTGGTGATGGGTTTACGGATTTCCTGCCATCTGGTTCATCAGATGGCAATAAATCCCCAAAGTGTAAGCGATCTGCTTTGGCCTTCATTTGAAAGTAGTTGGTCAAAGTGACTGTTGGTTGATTTGCTTTTCCTTTGCGACTTGGGTGACCTAAGTTCTGAGCTGCTTTCCTTTTAGAGGTACAGGTGATGTTTTTGGGACGCACTGTTTTTCCTGTGAAAGAAAAACACATTAAAGTCTATAAAATATGATATTGGAGCATCCAATCCTGTCTTCATGTATACATTTAAACACTATGTAAAAAAGGTCCCCTATTATACTATTTTTCACCAATATATTATAGGTCTCTAGATATATATACAGAAAATGCTCTAGGAGGAGATTCAGGTGATAAGGTGGGGGGGGGGGGGGGTTACCTTGGTTGGGTATTGGCTAATGGTTACACAAGCCAAAACGTTATGACATCATAAAGTGGCCTAAATCTGATCAGCTCATTTTCAGATGGATCTTTTTTCCTGACACTTTCAGAATCTCTTTACACAGAGGTGACACATAATAACGTATAAAAGACATGAAAAAGTGGATTTTGCACAATAGGTGACCTTTAAATCCAGCACCATCATTTTCTTACGAAAGAAACTGTTGCGAGTTTGTCTAAGTAAGTCAGTAAGTAAGAGATGATTATTATGTTTATCTGGACTTCAGAACGCACAGTGTATTCTCACCAGGTAAAGTGTCAGGTCTAGGAGTGCAGCTGTTGATGCTGTAGTTGTTGAAGTAGGTTGGTTTCAGTGGGTCCTTCCCTGGCATCTCCACTAGATGGGACTGGGTAGCTTCCTTCAGCTGGGACAGAACATGGCGGCCACTGCGCTGGGAGGAGCAGTTCACCTCAAACACCTTTGTTTGGAAATGAAAGATGAAATAAAGTCGAATTCCTCTTAATTAGGTTACTTAGCCAGTGGAATTGGTCAACTTGCTTTAAATTGGTGAACAGTCAGTGGAATAACCTCAGATCTCACTGATAATAATAATAATACATTACATTTATAAAGCGCTTTTCCTGGTGCTCAAAGCGCTTACAAGCAAGTAAAACAAAATAACAACAAAAGTAGAAAGTGCTAAGCTAGGAGGAATAAGGGCAAGGGGTTAGTTGATTAGGAGTTGAAGGCAAGAGTGAAAAGGTGAGTTTTGAGGGATTGTTTGAATGATGTGAGAGTGTTGGCGGATCTGACGTGGCTGGGGAGGGAGTTCCAGAGTGTGGGGGAGGCTGCTGCGAATATTTTAAAGTCAATGCGGTGTTTGATGGGGAGCCAGTGGAGGTCATGGAGGATAGGGGTGATGTGGTCAAGCGTCGGGTGGAGGTGAGCAAGCGGGCAGCTGAGTTTTGGACATATTGAAGTGTTTTTAGTGTGAATGCAGGTGATCCAAAAAGTATGCTGTTGCAGTAATCCAGTCGGGATGTTATCAAGGCATGGATCAGAGTTTCAGCAGCGGTCGATGAGAGGGAGGGTCTAATACGGGCGATGTTCTTTAAATGGAAGGATGCGTTTTTTGTGACCTGGTTGATGTGAGGGAGGAAAGTGAGGGTGGGGTCGAGGATGATGCCAAGGTTACGGATGTGAGTGGAGGGGTTGACAATGGAGCCATCGATGGTAAGAGAAAAATCTTGGGTTGAGCGGGTAAGTGAGTTTGGGCCAATGATTATAAGTTCCGATTTGTCACAGTTAAGTTTTAGAAAATAGTTTTGCATCCAAATGTTAATGTCAGTGAGGCAGGTGCTGAGCTGGGAGTGTGTGGTTGGAGAAATTGATTTTGTTGAGAGGTAGAGCTGCGTGTCATCAGCATAACAGTGGAACTGGAGTTGGTGTTGACGGAGGATTTGTCCAATTGGGAGGATGTAGATGATGAACAGAAGGGGACCAAGTACAGAACCCTGAGGGACGCCATGATTGACGGGGGCTGTGGGGGATTTGGAGTTGTTAATGGAGATTAATTGATGTCTGTCAGAGAGATAGGATTTAAACCAGGAGAGGGCAGTACCGGTAATGCCAATGGAAGACTGGAGGCGGTTGATGAGGATGGAATGGTTGATCGTGTCAAATGCGGCTGTTAGGTCAAGGAGAATGAGAATTGAGAGGGAACCAGAGCCAGCAGAGAGGAGAATGTCGTTGGTCACCTTGAGTAGGGCAGATTCTGTGCTGTGGCGAGTACAGAAACCAGATTGAAAAGGTCCATGAAGGTTATTGCAGTCCAAATGGGATTTTAGTAGGGAGGCAACAGTTCGCTCCAGAATTTTTGACAGGAATGGGAGGTTAGAGATGGGCCGGTAGTTATTGAGGGAATCAGGGTTGAGACCAGGTTTTTTAATGAAACAGTTTATTTAGTCATTAACAAACTGTTCATATTATCCTTTTAAATATTTTTGTATTCTTCTAAGTCTTCTCTTACTGCATTTTGTGGATAAGATTTGACATATTTTTGTTATCACAGCTGTTCACAGAGGTGAGGAGAAACGGAGATTTTCAACCCTACCAGGCATCAATTATTGGTGGAAATGAAGAGCACATTTTTTGGCATGGTTATATTTAAGATATGTATATCGATGTAGATGATCATCATTTGGCAGAAGAGATACAAAGATATTGACCCAGTTTGAACCCAACCTTGAAGCCAAGTTCCTGGGCGCAGGCGTACACCGAGGCGGTCTTTCCCACCCCTGGAGGTCCGGTGATCAGCATGGTGTTGCAGAGCGGCTCCTCTCGGTCGCCCTCGCCCCCCCCCTCACCCTGGAAGTCTCCACAGTCCCATGAGTCTGCACAGGAGGAAAGGCATGCATTTTCCAACCAAATAACCCCACACATGGAAAGTTCTATAATATCCTGAGTCATTAAAATTCACGTGCACATTATAAGCAAGCTTGTCACCAATTATTTGCTATACTAAAAATTTGAATATGCCAAATTTACCACGTTAAAAGTTGAACCCTGAAATACAAGAGCAAATATGATAAATACCAGCTCATACCATTGCTGTTATCTTCTTGCTTCTTCTCCTCCATTTTTCTCCTCTCGTCACAGTCAGCTCTTAGTTTCCATTTCTTTAACCAACTGAATTCAATAAAAACACACAACAAATGAAAAGATTATGCCCTCACGTGTTTTTCTACTACAATATATCAGTAAAGTCAGAGGGGGAGTATTGTATAAAACCAACCTTTGTAGTTTATTCACAGAGGCGGAGTTGCCAATGACTTCACTAATATGCTGAGGACTGTATTTGTCTGTCCAGAGAACATCCTCAAAACTGGAATCTAGACAAACGAAAGGGAGGAAATGTTATGTGTGTGTGCTATTAGAAGGCATGAAACATGTCATAAACCAATCATAGTTTGACAGGTTTACCTTTTTGAAGGATATCAGAGGTTTTGAGTGACTGGATGCAAGACTCTGATTGATTTATCAGTAGAGGAAGGGGCTCATAGTGGTTCACCAGGCCTGCTGGGCTCCCACGTTGCTGCCTCAGCCTGTGAGTACGACTGAGCTTGTTGCTTCTGCGCTGTTGTTGGACCAATGGGACAGGATATTCCTGGATAAAATGTGTTGACACGGGACAGTGACCCATACCAACGGTATCCTCTGCTGTGACACTAGACCTCAGACGTTTGAACACCCTCTCAGAGTTTTCATTTATCCGTTTTCTCTTCTCAGTTAAGTGGATTTGACGGGAGTTTTCTGCTTCGGAAAGAAGAGCAGAAGTTCAGTTGAAGAAAATCAAGCTTTAACTTACTTTTTGAATGCATAAACTAACTAAATCATCAATTGAAAGCACACTCAACATAAAAGACTGTGACTCAATCTAACCTGTGGATCCCACATTCTGCAGCCTCTCACTCGCTTTCTTCTGCAAAGTATTGAACACTGTTTGCACTGATAACGCTGGGTTGGAGGTTTGGATTTCCTCCATGCAGATGTGCAGAGCTGAGGCTGACAGCTGTGCTCTCCAGGATCTCTTTCTCTCTGTAGGTGATGCACGCTGCTGACTTTTCCCCAGCTGCACATCAGGGAGCACTAATTCCTGCACCTGGTCTGCAGGCTGATCCAGTTTCACATCCCGGCTCCGTTTACTCTGGCTTTGCTTAGTTGTACGTAAGAAAATTGGTGCAATTTTAACGTATTTTGGGCAAAAAGTCTTCCTCTGCTCCTGAAGTGGTTTAACTTGTGTGGTGGAGATGCCTGCAGGAGCAACATGTGTGTCTCCTGCAGCCAGCGAGGCTGAATCTCTCTCTGGTGATGTTTCATCATAGGAACAACTCGAGTCTGACAACACCAACCTGATCACCTCGGCTGTTCTCGTCTGCTCTCTGCTCGGACATGGAGCATCTTTACATTTGTTGCTCCGCTTGAGTTTGTTTCGCATCGTACTCCTAATTCAAAGACTCTTGGCATTATGCTAACGACAATTTGCTACACTAACCAAGCGAGCGAACTAAATAGTGCACTCCTCCGACTCCCATTCATCGGCTCCACAGTACCTTAATTCATTGTAGCAGGGAATTGAAAAAGCCAAAAATAAAACAAACTTCTGTTTTGAATCCAGAAACATCCCAACTACCCTGAAATGACGTTTAAAACGTGCGCGAGACCGTATGATATAAACAAAGATCGTGTTCATACAAATAATGAGGAGGCTCTCGTTTAGTTTAGCGAGGCTACCAAACTCATGATGCATACATAGGGACATAGTTTGAGTTTCGCATCACATACGCCTAAACGTTGTTACTAACTGCGGACTTAAATAAATAAACAATACTTGGTGAAATTGGTATAAGATACAGATGTTCGTCGAAAATCCCATCTCAAATACTCTTCCTCGGAATTCATTGCAGAGTGGTAGCTCTCGCTGTTGTCACCAGATATTGTACTTCTGTGTAGATCGTGTATTTTTGCCTTTACAGGGATGTACAAAAGTTGAAGATAACTTTTTATTGATGTGTTTGTATTCATCTTTCGTTTTTGTAAAGCGCTTCGTGCTGCATTTCTTGGATGGAGGGTGCTATACAAATTATTAATGAAATAAAATAGCTTGCCACAATGTCTAGAAGGCTCTATATTTGAAGAGTGAGTCCCTTGAAAAATAAACTCACTGCTTATTTGTTAAATGAAAAAAATCACGAGACAAATAAAGAAAGCCTAACTAGGTGGGCCAGTGGCAGCTTTGGCCAAAACAACATGTTACTCTCTTATATGAACCTAGCCTCTGCCTTGAAAGCAATTTAAAGCACATGAACGTGTGAGAGCCACCTAAATATGTTCATTACAGCCAGACGCTGGACAATGGTGCACACTCCTTTTCCTTCACAGTAGCTTGAGTAAAAGTATGGCTTTGGAGTGTCAAGAGGTCAGGGGAAATATTTATTGACACTTTTTGGAAACGGCAGGAACAGCAGAACAACTTTATTTTAACACGGTTTTCAAAAAGAAATCAAAAGAAACACAATTGACAATATGGAATATGTCTTCCCTTTAGAAAGAAGCTTTCCCTGGATACACCCAGCGCCATATAGATACACCTAATGTGTCTGGGAAATTTGCAAGGTCAGAATGATGGGTAACCTTTTTCCTTTGATATTCACTGGAGAGATGCAATGTTGCCTTGTTTGAACATTCATTTTAAAAGGGGTCTGATCTTTAAAGCTTATTAGAACTGCACCTCAGCTACTGATACTTGCTTTTTTCGCGACTAAAAATGATTGACCAAACTACATTCAGATGTGGTCTGACTATGTGGTCAAAAGTTCAAGAAAAAAGTGACTTTCAAGTTAAGAAAAGCCAACTGTTTTGCAGGTCTGAATTATATCACCTAAAAGACCTATAACATAATATGCAGCTGGTAATTTCTCTCAAAAGACAGCTATGCAATTAATAACACATGTCATTCTTTATATTATAACATATACAGTATGTCCTTTATAAGTCAAGGTCCACGCGGATTCAAATTGAGTTATTATTCAACTGGAATTGCCAGACAGTCCACGATAGAATGTAATAATGACTAGTGTCCATAAATCACTCAAACATGACAGCCATGAATAAGGTCAAATGTATTTTATTTCTTTAAATATAAAAGTCCCCCTAACCAGAGTGTACATTTTTTTTTTACATAAAATGGTGAACATGTCAGATGAAAACAGAAACCTTCCATGAAATGAGGAGTATTGTCAATTTAGTTGTCCCATACAGCCAGAAAAGAGATGTCTGTTGAACCGAATGAGTGTTGATGTGCACCAATTTAGGTGCACACAAGAAAACACAACTACAGCTGCTTTTTATGTTGTGGAATGAACAAGAGAAAATATGCTAAATAATATACAGAACTAAAAGACTGATGAAATATTCCCCTTTGGCATAAATTGCACCCAACGGGACATAAAATTGACTTGGATCTGAAAACCAAACATCCAATAAAGAGCATATCGCGTTGAAACTTAAAAAGTGATCCGATTCATACCGGGACAGAGTTAAACATTTGATGAGATTACGTTTCTATCAATAGCTTCCGACATTCATGTTGAAAGAAAACTAAACGTGTTGAAAGCTCAAAGTGAAAACAAACTCAAGCAATCAGAAAAAGTTGATCACTTTTATCTTGAATGCTATGCATGATAAATGGGATGATGTGCTGCTGGTTGTTTTACGTAAATAAAATATTCAGAAACAGTGATTTCCCTGGCTTTCCTTTAGCTGTTATCAATGCAGGCCGAAAGGCTTAGGGGTGATGAAGTAGGAGTTTTAGCATGGACCCAAACCATAATTTAATGTGGTTCCAGATCCCAATGCTTACAGTACAGTACTATTGTCATTGCAACCATTGGGTTCCTAACAAGCTCTACAGGCTTTATATAATCTATAACTTGGTGGCAATAGTGTGGACTTTGACTGTAACCGTCAGACCCTTAAAAGGAAGTCTCATTCACAACAGTGAAATTGGACCCCCGAAAGTGTCTCCACTGATGACACTGGGAAAGCTGCATTTAACATTTGGTGCAGCAGGAATAAAAAAAGAGGAAACAATTTCAAGGTAAACTCTCTAAATACAAACACCAAGTGCTAAAATAATCAGCTAAAAGGGTAAGTTCTCAACAAGGTTATTGTGTATGTGTACAAATAATTAAGAGTGACAATGTTACCAGTAAATTTTTAACTGTAGTCATGATGCAGTTGTCTATCACATACCAAAGGCGGTCGCGCCACATTATCCGACCGTTTGTTCACTCTCTCACCCAAAGACAGATAGTTCAATGGCTCCTACAAAATGCACATTAAGTAGGTTCAACTCACATTCCACAGTCCTCATAATCTTGGTTTGTGTAGATGTGGGTGATATTTGGTTCAGTTCACAAGTTCCCAAAACTTGTTTACCTTGTATACTGGTCTGCTTGTGGTCAGATCCTCCGCTGACCACTTCTGCCACCTATCTAAGCACCATAGAGTTGGAAATGTTCATTCAGGATGAAACGAAAAAAACAAAACAATACGAGAATCATTGATCCATCCATCCTTCATCAGTCTGTAAGTGTGCTTTTTGTCCTCTTGCCCAGTTTCCCTGCGGTGGAGGGGGTGACGGTGCCGTTGCAGGCTGCTGCTGGTACCAGACTCTGGCCCGGCTGCGCCTCCTCCTCTGTGTCTGGAAGCTCCTCCTGGATCTGTTTCAGACGGGCCATGGCATGGTCGATGGTGGCTGTGCTCACCAGGTTGAAGTCGTGCATGCTGACTAGATGCAGGAGGAAGTTGCGGCAGAGTTTGCGGCGGATTATGTGAGCTCCATTGTTCTCCGCGAAATGCAGGATGGCCTGATTCATCTGGTTATCTGCTATGAAACTGGAGAAAAGAGGAACTCTAAACAAGAGTAGAGCTGCAAAGATTAGTCCTACTGTATATGTGACTAAGCAAACGTTATCTGTCAAGATTAACATTCATAATGATACACATTAACCAACGATTATATTGCTTAAAGCTTAAAGGTCCCTTATTATACTGTTTTTCATCAATATATTATAGTTCTCAGTTATATACAAAACATGGCTCCAGGAGGAGATTCAGGTGATAAGGTGGGGGGGGGGGTTACCTTGGTTGGTTATTGGCTAATGGTTACACAAGCCAAAAAACCTTTATGACATCATAAAGTGGCCAAAATCAGATCAGCTCATTTTCAGACAGGTTTTATATAAATGGATCAGGACAAAAAGTGAGCGAATATTTTTTCCTGAAACTTTCAGAATCTCTTTCCACAGAGGGGACACATGTTGATGTATAAAAGACGTGAAAGTGAATTTTGCATAATAGGGGACCTTTAAGGAATACTTCATGAAGATGCAGTAATGTTTCCCACGTACCCATACTTCATGACGTGCAGATTCCACAGCTTCATCACTTCCTTCTCTCCTTCATTGACATCTGTGAACTCATCCAGTTGCTGCAGGTAAGAAAAGATGTGAGATTAGGGTGATGCAAAAACACTGATGACTAACTACCATGCACCATGGTTATTCGCAGTGTAATTTATTGTTTATTAAAACCTTTGCTGTTATCTCGACAAATACCCACATAAGCACATTCTAATGAAAATTGGCCTTGAGAGCAATGGAACAACTTTAAAAAGCAATATTAGCAGAATCAGGGAATCAATACTAAAATATATAATTGTGTACGGGCGTTAGAGCAAGCTGAAGATGTGTTCTGTGTTGTTCAATAGTTGTTGCTCTGAGCATCTTTAAGTTATTTATGGCAAGCAGGACTGACCCAAATGCTTTGAATCTTTGTTGCCATGGTAATCCGACACCAAAATCTATATTCACTCAGTATGAACCTCCGAAACACTCACACGGACAAACCATTTTTATGAAATTGTTACCAAAAAATGAATGTTGTTGTCAATCTAAATCAATGACAATAAACCCAAACGTGCGAGTTCACAATAAAACAAAATCCATGTCATGGCAGAACGTGACACGGGGATAAAACGGTAACACCACCCATCCCTACTCCTAATCAAGAACAACTGGTTAATTATACACAGGTGTAAAGACTCAGCCAAGGTGAGATGATAAGTTTGTTTTTCTTTGTGGGAAATTGAGCTCAAAGTGTGTGTATACCCAGTTCAACAGTGAGCCAGAAACCAAACAGCAGATGAGTAATGGCTCCTCACCGTGGCAGTCTTCTCTCGGAGCCAGTCTGGATCCCTCTCGTCCTCGCTGTCCTCCTCCATCTCCTGGGGCCGCAGGGGCATGCAGCTGTCACTGTGGAAGTACAGGCGGTTGTGTCCGCTCACATAAGTCCTCTGCTGCTCCAACTCTCCGTCCTCAGTCTCAAGGAACTCTGACAGACTCGCTTTGATCCTTTTGGGCCTAGTGGACAGGAGAGAGAAAGCATCTTTTTGTAATACTCCCTCCTTTATTAGATATTACATATGCTGATACGGAATACTGCCACAATCTCTTGGTCTTAGTCTGTTTTGAGCGGGCTCCCTGCTCATGACAGCTCCTAGATGTTCATTTAATGAATTACTAACTCAACCAGACTGTGAAAATCAGATTTAACTGATAAGTTAATTGCATTGTCCAATTTGAGTTCAATTTAAACA